GCCTAGTCTCTATTTTAACCGAAAATACTGCATAGAAGAAAAATAAATAAAAAATAAAAATAAAATAAAAAATTCATTATTTTCAATGGCAAAAAATTTACCATAAATATTGCATAAATATTAATAAGTTCAATCAAATTGTCTCAAAATACTAAACTAAAAAGAATAAATATTATAGAACAAAAATAAATTGCATTGGTTTTACTGGGATGGAGGAAGTTTCATTTTTAGGTGTCCGGTCACTTCTGACCGGGAAGGCCCAGGATGTGACTCCGAAACGAAGACCGTCTGAGGGTTAATTAGCCGCGTTTCCACTGTCGGGCCAGTGCTAGGCCAGGGCTTTAAACTGGCCGTGCCGGGCTAATAGCCTCGGGCCAGTAGCACCGGGCCTGCGTTTCCACTGTCGGGCCAGAAGCTCCACAGCGCGTCACTAAAACACGCCCGTAACACGCCTCTCTGGAACAACGTCACACTAACCCATCATTTCACCAACAAATGGAAGTTTTATCAGAAAACTAATCAGAAAGAAATCACTGGAAACAGCGTGCATCGCAAAAAAAAACATGATAAAAGCGGCCGTTTGCTGGCATTTTTGTTGTTTACTTGAAAATTTAAAACCCAAGCATCGATGTTTTACCACAGGTTTACAATAAAAAAGTGATACATTGATCATAATGAATTAATTTATGTCAAAATTGCACATTAGCCACACAGAAATAAATTACCGTTAGGTCTATTTCACAAAAGAAAGAGGACACACTTACATTATTCAGTCGAGGCTGTTTCTGTTTATTTGGTAGTTACAGGACATATATCACATTTAGAAAGAATGATAATTTCTACAAATAATGTTATATGCCACCAAAAATACGACCTGGGGAGCGTTAGCACAGTCTCGACTCCCAGTAGCTACAGATATATTTTCAGTCAGAGAAACAGAAGCTCCCGAAAAAAAGTAGATAGTCCGGTATAAAGAGACTATGTAGGCTATGTAGCTAGGCTACTGACAGATAAAATAAAAACATGATTGTGATAGCCTTTATGATTGGTCTTACTTCTTCAAGCGTTCACCATGTTTTTTTACTATGCGTATTCAAGCGTTTACTATGGTATACCATAGTAAACGCGGTTAGCGCGCATAGTCTTTTGCATCGCGTATAAATATTTCTACCTTATATGGTGATCAGAATCCACATCGGATCACAAACAGAAGGCATTAAAACATGAAAGTGAGTTAAATTATTTTAAAAGTCTTTAATGCTGACAGAATCCATCGGCGCTGTCTCTCGACTCAGGTAAACCCCGCCTCTGTTCGTAACCACTCCTCTAGCCCGAGCTGGCCCGCTTTGGCCCAAGGTATTCGACGGGCCAGAAATCCTGGCCGTTGGCCCCGAGTAAGCCCCGATCAAGCCCCGGAAGTGACAGTGGAAACGCGACTGGCCCTGGCACGCACTAGCACGGCCCGGCCCTGGCCCGGCAGTGGAAACGCGGCTATTGTCACTTGGTAAGCCAGCCAAATTAGGCAAATGACAAAATGGACCATTTCCTTGATCTTGCAAGTTTCTCAAAAACCTTGCAAAGCAACCCTCTCTGCACACCTTGGCAATAGAATCGCCATTGGATAGTACATTTTTTGTCTACTCGCCAGACTGATATACTATATATATATATATATATATATATATAGTGTGTATGTATATATATATATATATTTGTTTGCTCCAACTGATTTGCTGAAATCAAAACTGGGACGGTAATAGATGAGCGCCGGCCAATGAGATTGCAGTTTGCGCATTAGTTCCGCCTACTACCGGAGAAACCGACATATCTCATGCTTGTTCTTAAAATACAACAAAGCATATCGTTTATATGTAGCGCGTCGATTCTGTGTGGTATGGAAAACTCTCGCTCTCTCTTTGCATGTGTGTGAGAAACAGCGCTCTCAGCAAAGCGACGGCGAGTCGTGCGTCTTCACACTAGAGTTTACGGTACGTCAAATACAGGAGCTGCACTGACATAGTACACAATCTACATATTGCAGGACGGAGAGCGAAACTCTCAAGCGCTAAATCAGTGTTCAGCGAGTGAAACTATATCTATGCTAAACATATACTTAGCATCTAACACACACACACTGGCGATTTAGTATTTAGTCGCCCAGAGTGCACTCAAATATGGTAAACGCAAGCTCAACCGCACATGCTTGATGCACAAGAACAAATCTCACGGTTCTTGCGGAAGCTCAACATACACGTTTACGAAATGTGAGTGCTCTGTGTAAGTTCGCTGATCAATGTTTATATCCGGATAAAAGCCTAAATTAAATCACATATAAAGCGATCGTGTCTCTTTAGAAGACTTGGATCAACCCGCTGGTTTCAGATATGGATTGATTTTATGTTGTCTTTATGATTGTTTTGAAGCATCAGAGTTTTATGTGAATAGACTTTCAATGGAGGGACAGAAAAATCTCAGACTTCAATAAAAATATCTTCATTTGTATTCCGAAGATAATTGAAAGTCTAATGGTTTTGGAATGACATGAGGGTGAGTAATTGATGACAGAATGTTCATTTTTGGGTGAACTATCCCTTTAATGTGCTTTTTAGGTAGGTAGCTCCTTAGTGCCATTGTCTCACGCTCTGATAGTAAAAGACTCAGTTGATGTATGGAGCTGCATGAGGCACAACATCACCCAGCGCTGTTGTTTATCTATGATCCCATTACAAATTGAGAGCCCTATACTTTCCAGTTGTCTGGATCCGTACACTTATATGTGTCTAAAGATGGAAAACAACTCCTACTCACCCTGCCATCTAAGAAATGTGTGGTGCATCCAAACCTTTTAGCTTTTCTTGATGTGAATAGAGGCTCTCAAAATGGATGTCGCAACCATGGACCCCCACCCACATATTAATGAGCATGTCGAAATGGACAAGCACATTAAGTCTAAAGCCTGCAGAGAGCCAATGGGCTGAGGAAAAACAAAACAGCCACAGTTACTGCTCACTAGCCAAGCCATGTCAAGGACGACGCATTTGTTTTGGCCGTCTTCCGTGTTTGGTTCCAGCTCGGTGGCTGCCACAACACATTGTTGGATAAAACAGAAGGGCAAGAGAAGTCCACTACTCAGGCAGTTGGCTGTGTAATACGTTTAAAAATGGCGTCAGGCCGTGCTTCAGCAAGCGTTGGGCTGTTTGGCCGGAGGGGGCTGATGTGACATACTGATGAACATTTTAATCTAGTGTGTAACTTGCCCTGGTACATCCTGCATTCAGTGATTCAGTTTCACTTGCACCCGGATTTTGGCGTAACTACAGGATTTTTCCAGAAAATAAGTCGGGTCAGATTGCATTTTGTTCAGAAAAAATATTCTAAATACTATAATGATGTATCTGAGCTCCACAACACATCCTTTAAATTTAACGGGATGCAGAACAGGAATGAAAAATATAAGTAAACACTAAAGCCTAAAATAATTTAATACTGGTATGTGGGAAATGCATTATACGAATAAACTTGAGCTCACCTACGTATCTAATTCGGCTCAAATCCAAATGTATGCACTTAAATGTATTTTTTTGGGGGGGAGATTTAGGAAACATGCTATGTTCAAATACTTGTTTCTCTGAAAAGCAATGTTACAGTCAATTATTCTACTTTGAAATGTGCGTTCCGGGTCGGAATGTCTTTTTTTTGTTTTGGTCCGTGTGATCCCGCCCACTGCCTATTCGCCCAATAGTATTTCGACACCCCGGGTTGCCAGTTGGCTGAAAACACAGCATATTGCAGTTATGGAAGCCAGCAAACGAACTGGCATCCATCCTCTGCATTCATCTAAAAAGCTTAATGACCTGAGGCATAAATAAATACTGGAGAATTTGTCACAGCTTAAAGAAAGACTGACTTGGCTAATTTTCATCTTTATAGGTAAGCATGTGGGAAATGCGTTATACAAATAAACTTGGGCTGACGTACATCTCTCGTTTGGCACCAATCCAAATGTGAGCGCTTTGCACGTTTTGTGTGCTTGATGTTAATCGCATTATAGAAGTCGCTTTGGAATATAAGTCACAACTCACAACATATTTCAGATGATAACAAGTGACTTATATTCCAGAAAATGTGATAACTAAAAGAAGCAATACTTCTCATTTTTTAAGAACCTGACAGTTCAGCTGTTTACAAAATAGTGTAGCTTTTCCAAGAAGAAGCTTTTATCTTCAAAGGTAGAGATGTGGCATGACAAAACGCTACATTGCTTGGCTTTGTATGAGATGTTGTGTATCCCGGGAGAAATCTGAGGTAATAATCAAACACGCTCTTCTAGAAAATCCTCTCTGTTCCAGGAAGCATTGGGAAGTCCCATTCATTTAGTGAATTGGTTTATTTAATTGAATTTATTTACGTACGGTAATTAGTTTAGCGTCAACTACTACCCACCTCCCCCTGCCCATAAATAATATAATATTTATAAATGTATACATTTAGTTAAAACACTGATGTTATTTTAGTTGTATATTTATTATTTTTGCTTTTATTTAGTGTTGATTATGTGTTTGAGTTTGAGGCAGCCGTCCTAATTGAGATCCTAATTAAGATCGTCATGAAAATACAATCAGTTGTATAATTAAAAAGATGTTTCTCCTTAAATAGCTTTGACACTTTATGTTAGTAGCTGTTAGTGAATCGAAATGCTTTTTTAAAAGAGTTGCTTGACTGCAGCTTAACTACTTGCATTATGAGAAGCTTGTTAGCTGCCGTTACAAAGCAGTTTTCCTAAAGATGGCTCTTGGTATTTGTGGTATACATAATACGGGTGACAAATTAAAGGAAAATCCATCCTGCAAATCAATACTAAGTTGTTCTGAGAGATCACCTTCATTCTTTAATTCTGTGGTGGCCCAACACTTTTCTAAGATGCTTTATGTTGTTTTTTTTGTCACTATTTCTTTTAGGATCTTTTTTAAACCTGTGTGTTTCTTGTCTTACCTCTTTAGAATGACAAGGGCCAGTGTCCGGCTGATGTTGTTCCAGAGCCTGTAGATATGCCTCTGGAAATGGCTGATGCCGCAGTCCAGGTTAAAGAGCTGCGCACACTGCTGCGGGACGTCCTGCCCAGACCAGACTCTCCTCTCACTCTCCTTCTCCCTCTCCTGCCTGCCAGACCTCCAGGTCTCCTCTCGGACAAAGCTCGTGCCCAGCTTTCAAGTATGGGCCTTCACCTTGGAGACAAAGTTGTCATCGCTGGTCAAAAGGTACTGCATAAGTTCTGCATTTCTGTGAGCATGTAATGAGCACAGCCCTCACACTGCTGTTCAGGAGCAAACATATTTTATTTATAATTATATGCCACATACAGTGGCCTCAAAAAGCATTTGGAAACATTTGGACATTTAAGTCATGCTTAATTTAATCTATCCATCTATCTGTCTGTCTGTCTGTCTGTCTGTCTGTCTGTCTGTCTGTCTATCTATCATCTAATCTATTTTTTCAAATGTATTTATTTATTTTTGAAAATACATAATTAAAAATACATATATATTATATAAACACAGACTTTTATGTTAGATGCAATTAATCATGATTGATCGATTTGACAGCACATCTCTCTCTCTCTCTCTCTCTCTCTATATATATATATATATATATATATAAATAATACAAAATATACACACACACACTATTTTAACATTTACAGCATGTGTGAGTCCAGTGAGACCAGTGTGTGTGAGTATTATTGTAACTTAAGTACACTATTTCACAGTTTAATGTGCTTTTATTTTACTAGCTTATAAATCATACTAAATGATGTTTTTAAAAAATGTAAAAATGCAGAACGTTTTCTCTGAGGGTTCTGTTAGGGGATAGAATATACAGTTTGTCCAATATAAAAAGCATTACAGCTACAGAAAGTCCACATAAAACATGGAAACCCAACCTGTGTGTGTGTGTGTGTGTTGGGAAAAATGTACATCTGTCTGCTTCAAAAATGAAGGAAATGTGTGTACTTGCTGGTCCTCACATAAAATATAAGGACAGGGGTTACGGCTGCTAGTGTTCGAACATAACAGGTTTGCTGTGATTGATATTGATCGAAGCCGTTGAGAAATCAGATTTAATAGAAACAGGCGCACCCCCCACACATGTTCCGCAAAATGAGAGTTGTCAGGAAGAAATCACTTCATGCACTGCTCCTAGCAAAGAACTCAAATGTCAGTGAATGGTATCCTAAAGCTGCCACCCAATCAAATCTGTCCTACATGCCCATTGTGACATCATCAGTAATGAGCAGGGAATCAGCTGGGACTCTCAAACCCATTTGCAGTGGGTAAGGATAATGGCGGGAGTTAAGAGACCAGAGTGCATGCTCTGCTTTCTCCTTGCAGAAATATTTCCTTTACATGTTTTTTTAGTTTTTTGACCAGCTCCCGCACTCGCATACCTACACACCAAATTACCCATTAATGAAATCTTCCACCACCACATTGGGACTAAAGTGAGCAGAGTGCCGGGATTCTACAGATTGGCTAATCAAAACCCCATTATCTTCAGGGATCCTTGGCGCCGCTGGCTTTCTTTGATCCCCATTTTACTTTTAACGTTATTTTTATCCAAGCTAATTTGCCTGTTTATGAATTTCGGCGCATACGAAAACAAGGGCGGCCTGTCGAACGAGCCTAAATATGTGCTGCTCTGTGTGGATGCACTTGTTTGTTTCTGGAGTAAAGAAGTAATCACTTTCCATTGCCCTCCGGAGTACAGAGCAAGATAAAGAGAGCATGAAACGGGTTTATTGAACATGTATTATCACCTCGGCAGCCCACGCGGCCAGAAAACTATTTCTCACACTGTCCCCACAGAGTTCTGCAGGATGCTCTCGTGGTCCCAGGATTAAATGCTTTACGGAAATGTGTAAATCTTAGTTTAATCTACCCTCTGGTTTGTTTTGTAAGGTCGGGACTCTGAGGTTTTGCGGTAGTACCGAGTTTGCTGGTGGTCTTTGGGCAGGGGTGGAGCTTCACCAACCAGTGGGCAAAAATGATGGATCGGTAGCTGGCGTCCAGTACTTCACCTGCCCAATTAAACATGGTAAGAGTTTAAATGTACATGTTTTTCTCTTATTATAGTTACTTGCAAACAGTCATGTTAAATAATTAGCTAACTAGTTAGTGTAATGCTAACATTACATTGCAACAAGCTAGCCAGTTACAACACAATTAGGATGAGTCATGTCTGTTCCATGTTAATGAGAATGTTTGTCTTAACCAGCTAACCAGACTGTGACAAATGTGATACTGTGATATTTGAACCCAGCTCGATAACTATTAAACATAATGTTTACTAACTAGCTAATCAGGGGAAACATTATAAAAGGTCAAGCAATAAATCAAGTCTTTTTGAGTTTTTGTCTTAACCAGCAATTGTGATAAGTGAGGTATGACGATATTTGAGCATAAATAGGTAGGGTAGGTTTACAAACTAGTTAACCAGAGGCAACACAATAGAGTGCTTGACAGAGTACTATTCTGTGTTGATCTGAGTTTAAGAATATGATAGTTGTGACCTGACACTATATAAGCATAACTAGGTAGTAACTAACTAGTGAGCAAACTTTACTAAACAGGTACAACAAAGCACCAAGGAATGAGTTTTCTCTTCCAATAACCAGCTACAACTTTGACAAGTGTGTTACAGTGATATTTCAGCATAACTAGCTAACTAGTGAGAGTAATGTTTACTAACTAGTTAACCAGTGGCAACGATCATGACTCTTCTGTGTTGATTTAAGTTTTTGTATTAACCAGCCACAAATATGACGTGATATGACCATATATAACCAGTTAGCAACATTTTCACTAACTAGCTTACCAGGCACAACAAAGTCATGCCATGTCTCTTCAATAACCAGCTACGACTTTGACAAGTGTGTTACAACAATATTTGAGCATAACAAGCTAGTGAGTCTATTTGACTAACTTGTTAACCGGAGGCAACACGATAGAGCACCAATGAATCATGCCTTTTTTGTTTTGATCTGTGTTAACCAGCCACAACAGTTACTAGCTAACAAGTGAGTGTAATTGTACTAACCAGCTAACCAGGCACAACAAAGTCTTGTCTCTTCTAAAACAAGTGGGTTACTACAATATTTGAGCATAGCTGGTGAAGGGTAATGTTTACTAAGGAGGTAACCAGATAAAACTTTATAAAGCATCAAACAATCTCTTTTAAATGTTAAGTTTAGTATTTGTCTTAATCAGCCATGATTGTGATACGACGAAACAGCGCTGAGCATAACTAGTGGCTTGTGAGTGTAATTTTTACTATGTAAGTTTGTTCATTTATTAACCAGCTTGCTAACCTGGAGCAATTAAGTTGTCTCTTCCAAGTAGAACATTTGTTACATGACATTTTAGTGGTCACATGCTTAATACAATCATATATTGTTAAATACAATGATAGGTTCTCTGAAAATGTTACAATGATAGGCCTACTTAAATCCTTGCATTGTGTTTTTTTTTTTTTTTTTTTTTTTTATGTGGCACACGTTCGGACAAAAGTTTGCCGTAATTACGATATCGACACACATTGCTTTTTCGCATTGCGTCACACAAATTTTATGGAATCTTCACATATGTAATACAATTAGCCCAATGTGGATCATCATAGCATAAGGTCATTGGTGATACCCGACCCTTTTTTTTTTCTTTTTTATCAGCTGGCCATTTGTCATTGCCAGTTTTCATGTTTTTCAATTCTTTCTCAGCTTACAATTCAGCTCTTGCTTTCTTTATCTGTCCTCAGTTGCTAACAAAATGATTTCTCTCTGACCCTCTCCAGGAATCTTCGCCCCCCTCTCCAAACTCAGCAAACTCTCGGAACGACGGAAAAACAGTCCCCGCCAGCCCTCCGCTCCTGTCCCCCACCCTAGACGAATTGACTTGGCGCGGGTCACGTCCAAGGTCAACACAGGTACATTTCTCACTGACCCGGTTGCTTAATGACCCTCTTTACAGCTCACAAACCCGATATCAGGAGGAACCCAGTGGCCACCACAGGCTCAAAGCTAATTACCATCCCAGAGGACCTGCTTGATAAATAAACTTACACGAGCGTGAACAGCGATAGTGGTGATAAAGCTGTTGGTGTTACCGCTTTATTCTGTCCCCTTCGGGGTTGTAGAGACAATAAAAAGCCATGAGAGCACTGAAGAAATGGAGCAATCATTGAGGGAGCTAACGTCACTTGTGTGCCATTACAGCGTTCACCCTAGGGGCCGTTTACACAGACGTGACACCCACCGATGTCTGCAGTGAATCACTCTAACATGCATAAACTCTCTTTTTTGTCACATATGCACATGAACGAGGACAAATGACTCATTTAAACTCTTCCATTATCATCCATGACAGACAAGCCTCAGAGGGATTTTATACAAGGGAAGTTGACATTTTGAAATTTGGACATGTTCTGTAGTGAAATGCTACGCTTGCTCTAAAACTATTTTAGCATTAGCTAATTTCTTTATGGTAATTGTTTGTGCAGCTTTTGTGACCTTATATTAATTCAATAACTACATGGAATATTTATACCAAAAAAAAAAAAAAAACTAGGGCTGTGACAATTTCTGTTGGAGAAACGTGCAGATCATTGGATTATTCACTCAACCAATTTGTTCAAAAATATTTATACATTCAGTTACCAAATACCACTACTGTATGTCGCTCAGAGACATGCAATGTTTGGAACTTTTTCTAAATTGCAGTCCTGCTTGGCTGTTATTATCTACGGGCGAATAAAAGTCATGCTGATTTTCAGAACAGCATCTCTTGCTGACATGATGCTACTTAAAAAGTCATCATGAGTATTATTATTTTCATATATTCATAGTCTGGCCTACACTACAGGACCATATAAATTGTGAAAAAGCTCATTTAATCATGACCAGTTGTAGGACCTGTATCTCGAAGTCTAAAATTGTGATGTTGATGGGGGGGAAAAAAGATACATTCCATTAACTACTGACAAACATATCTCCCACACACAGTGCTAAGGGCATCAGTTTTAGGTACAGTAAACATAACACACCTAAATATCCTGTAAGCTGCCGAGACTGCCGACACGTTATCATAATATACGTCTGCAGAGAGAGATAGTGTTCCCACACAGGCTTCCATTAGTGCACTAATGCTGATGAACAGCAGTTCCTCTCATCACCTCTGTTACACTAGAGACTTGCCCTTGCTCTGTCTGTGTGTTGGGTGGTCTTTACTCCAGATTGGTGTAAATTTGTTGATCTGTTTTCCTAGACAAGCATTTCCACCATGTTCCTCCAGGGCTCAAGTATTGTCCGCTCAGACAGCTAAATGCAGACATATGGGTCTCAATAGCTTTGTGTGGCAAAAGCACTTTTATGAAAAGCCCTTAAGGCATTGCGTTACGAAAAATGCTTTTTCTGCTTCCTCTCATACTTTTTTTTTTTATTTGATTGTTTTTCCTTCCCCTTTTGTTTTTATTACCTGTCTGTCTGTACTTTTAGAGTTTCATAAGAATTGAGTGGCAAAGTTTGCTTAATTCTCATAAAAATATAACTCTTCAAAATCAAATCGTTATGTCCTAAAACTAATAATTAATATTATTGTTATTATTAAAATTATAATGTTGTCTTTAGTTAGTGAGTCAAACAGCAGTGTTATTTTAGTATCATTGAGATACCATTATAGCTTTTTATAATATTTTGAATTAGTTTTTATTTGATTGTTTTGTATGTTTTTATTAATGAAACGCACATTATCTGATAAAATGACACAAACATACAGTAATGAAATTATTAAAACTTGAACTAGCAAGTGACAAAATTGTTTTTATGCTTTAGTTTTAGCTAACTATAGTAGTCAGTTAATTATTCGTTTTATTTATTGCTTTTATTATTATTACTTTCGAAGGGAGAGAGAACCCAGACAATTGTTTTCTCACATTTCATGTGATTCACACCAAAATAGGTACTATTTTTACATATTTGTGAATAATTAATCACTCTTTGTAATGAATTCATCAACTTAAATTCTTTCACATCTTTTCAAAGAGGCACAATCATATTTTATAAGCAACCTTGTTATGCCCACCCACTGTTTTTTGTTCTTAAACCTCTTTGTCATGTTCCTCTCTATCTCTGCACCTTTTTACATTCTTGATTTTCATTTTGGTTTGAGGATTCAGTGTTGAGTCACGCTGTCTGCATTAAAACTAATACGCACATCCAAGGAAGGAGTCCGAAGCCATGCTTTCTAGAGCACTTGTGAGTCACTTGTAGGCCGACTTCAACTATGACGCACGCACATTCAAACACACGAGCACCTCCAACGTGCTCACAATAACCATATCCAAGCAATGCATTGTGTTTATAATGACACTTTAATGATGTCACTGTCCTCGCAGCCACCGCGGAAGAAACGACAGCTCCATGGTGTCCTCTAATTAGTGCCGTTTCAAGGTGTTTTTTCCTCTCTCTTTTTTATTCCCGAGGTGATTTGAATAGTGGACCTTGGTGTATTTCTGTTCCCTGTTGATTGATTGTCCAATGAAGCCAAGCTTAATGAGCAGTCCTCACATCGGTCTGAACAAACTGGCAGTAATTTGTCATGGAGAGGAACGGGGGATAGAAGCGGTGTGTTTGTTACTGCTTTAACCCTTTATATTTGATCTGGTTGTACAACAATCTCAATTTCCTTTTGAAGTAAACTTGATATTTGGCGAATGATTGTTTATAGGGGTCCGAGATGTTCTAAACATTGTTAATATATGTTGCACGTGGAAATATTTTGGTTGAAAACGTGATTTGAAAGAAAAAAATGAGGTTCACCCAAAAATGGAATCAGTCCAATGTATTTTATTTTTGCAATAAAGATAGAAACCTAGCTCACATTAAAGTCTCTAAAAGTTCAACCACATAATTTGCAAACTGAGAAAACTTTTTTATATATTTGATTGAAATGATGTTTTGTTGATTTCAGTATGATAAAAGGCTATTTCTTTGAGAAATGTGATCCATAAAGACAGATGATGAGCCTAGCGCGGGTTTAATGGTTTTGCTTTAGGGTGGGCCATAAATGTTTTGGGTGGGCTGCATAAAAATGACTTTCATAAGATGCGCCATGAATGTTTTACTCTCATTTTGAGCATCTTTAAAACACTCACGTACTACATTTAAATGGACTGAACCAGATTTCATGGACTCTTTTATAATTCATTTGCAGTTTGCTACTTGTGGTTCTTTAGTGTTTATTTCGTTCAGCACATCACAATGCACAATTTATGCAAGCTTTATGTTTTAATGGTGCCGAAATTGCTTGTCCTCAAGATTCAGCTTGTCAAAGTTAATTAGGACTTTTCAACGGGAAATTCTATTTTATTGACATAGCATATGTATTGTTGAGAATAAATATGTTCTAAATTTATTCCTGCGAGTCTGAGAACGTATTGGGAAACTAAAAGTGTTTTACTGTCTGCATGAATAATGTTCCCAAACAAATCTCAGTCATACTTTATTCTTTTCATATCCATCTGTAGTGTCTCAAGTCTCATTTTCCTCAGATGAGCTGATTTTAAAGAAGTTTTTAAAGCAGCCAAAACATAGATTAATAAATAGAACAAACTATTTTTTTTTATTTTTTATATTGCTTAAATATTAATTGGTGGAGGAATTGTTAATTCTGATTATTATTGTGTTTAACAGGTAGTTCTGATAATTCATTAAACATTTATATAGCTTTTTATCATATTGCTTTTGCCATTTTAGAATCGTTTTTTTTATTTATTTAATTACATACATTTAATTAATTTTAAAAATATGATTTGTTTTTAGATACTCCACTTTCTTAGCCTGGGAAAACCCAGACAACTTCCGGCAAATTTAGATTTGCTCTGAAAGTTAGTCTGGCAAAGAGCTCATTCAAGCCCATTTCCAATCCGCCGAAATCGAGGCACCAATCAGAAACGTTGGGGCGGGCTTTACACGATGACGACAGCGCTGGGATTTTGAAGCAGATTTTGTAGCCTACATTACAAAGATGGATGCCGCCGTCGAACATCACTCGTTCGAATCAGCTATCGCGTCTGTTTTAAGCAATTTGAACGTTTCCTTTTAGTTAAAAACCGAGCAAAGAACAACACTCGGAGATGTTTCTCCGCCGCTCTGCATACGTCATCTCCTTCATCGCTCTGATTGGGTTTAGGTCTATCCGCGACGTCCGTTGGTGACGCCCCTCTGGAAATGATTTGTCTATGACGCTTTGCCAGACCATAACTCAGTTACAACTGAGAATGGTCTGGTTTTAACCAGGCTACCACTTTCTTTAAGAACACTCCTTAACCGTGGTAAAGTCACTGTGAAAACACACTATATTTCCTTTAAAATCTTACCTGTAGAGCACCAGCAAGACCTCTAGTGTAGCCAAGTACATTCAACATGATCTACAGTGTTTGCTCTGCTTTAGTAATAGCTGTCTGTTTATGCAATATTATTCCAGAGTTAATATTGAACTGTTTAGTCTTAATAATGTTTGTAAAGGTCAGGGATGACACCATCTTGGTTGTTTTGGTGTTCTCACTGTGCATATATTAGCATTTTAAGGGGTCCTTGGGGAGTGTGTGTCGTAACACTCCAGTGGATGTGACTTCTTTGAGCGGGCCTTGTGTACGGCACTAATGATTCTGATGCTTTTGTTTTTCTGGTGTCGAACACGATGTACATTCCCTGTTTTACATGCTTCATACGATTCGGAACAACTGTGGTCTCGAAACTCAAAAGTATTTGTATATACTTACTCAAAATGTAATTGCACAAGCTAAGACTACATCAAGTAGCATCTGCAAACAGACATATTTCTCAAAGCTAACATTTCCTTTTTGCCTAACTCTATCTATAGGTGAAGTTTATGACATTAAAGGTGCAGTAAGGGATTTCTGAGAAA